GGACAATACGATTCACATTTACATCTTTCCTTCTTGTTTATTCTCGAGCTTTTTTCTTCCTTCACATGGGTGATTGAAGCAAGACCGCGGTAAAGAAGGTCAGGACCTAAAGGGTCATTGCTGAGTTTTTTGATAAAATGTAGATTTTCCATATATTGCCATGTGTTGAAGTTTGACCCAGAATCAAATAATAAATTAATAGAGTTTGAGCAAATTTTATAAATCTAAGTATAGTATTTTCAGCCTACTCTTTTCAAAAGAATCACTCGGCCTTTTCGCAATATGCCGCCTCGTATTCCAGTTGATTTCTTCTTTGACGTTTTCTCTCCCTACAGCTGGATAGGATTTGAAGTTTGTTGAAAGTTAAACTTGCGTCAGTGGTTTTCGATGATCCTAAAAAGAGCCAGTTCAGGGACTAGTGAGGTACAAAAAGGTATGGCCTATCGATCTTCGTCTGCGTCCTTTCTACTTGGCTGGAATAATCAAATCAACAAGTATAAGTCTTCCTCGACTCGTTTTCGGCTATATTCGCCTTCTCTAATTTATCTCAGAAAACCCTGGTGCACCTATGATGCTCGCCCAAAAACAGAAGTATATGGAATTGGATCTGGAAAGAAATTCTAGGTACTGGGGAATACCGATTTCTCTTCCAAAGGTAAGACAGAGTTCCACAAACTTGAAAGATTTTTTAATTCAGGATTTCAAAAACATCGTTTTCTCAAACTCGTCGGCTGGTGCACAAAGGCTACTGATTGCTGTGCAAAGGCAGCAACCAGCAAGGATGGAACAGCTGGCCAGAACGTTGTGGCGAAGAATGTTCACAGAACACACTGGGGTGTTCGATCGAAGTGCATTGCTTGAAGTAGGTCGCATTCCTCAAAATAGGAGCAGATGTAAAGCTGTGGAGGCTCAAACTTTGCAGCGAAATGCAGTCCCTTTTGTTTTTCTCTGAACAGCAGTGGCGGTCCGAGAGATTTTATCCGGGGAAGTTGGAAGGGCAGGGAGGAGCGATAATAACTTAAAAATTTTTCTGCGGACTTGCCCCGTGCAAAAATTTTTCAATCCAGGACAAACAAGTTTGACATATTCGAAAATGCGATTTTCACCCCGAAAGAGCTTACGACCTCTTGTTCAAGCATACTATTCCTATGTCAAACAGACATATTTACTTTGCTTTCTCTCTAAAAATGGAAAATACGAAATTGGTTGGTTACTGCCAAAGGTTTT